CTGCAAAGGTTACAACCAATCATTTAATGACATTCCAAAGTTATGACAGTGCTGAAAAAACTTATTTATTATCTATCCTTGAAATTATGATCATTGCACCACTCCTGCATTCATATGATTGCAATTTGGCTGCTTGGAAACTGGCTTGCATTTATGACAGTTTTGCAGTGCCTTGTGGTCATGTGGTGCTATTTGTAACCTTTGCAGCCAGCTTCTTATAAGCAAAGTGAATGATTTATTGTTTAGCAACCAAATTTCCATGTCCAATTATGGTCATAAGCCAAGAACTACCTGTATTGATATCTATGCATATTTATTTAGAAATAAGTATAATTTTTATTTAGTGGTTTCAATTACTCAAAATGTTGCCACAACTAGAAGGAATGTTTCCTTACAAATAATTTCCAGCCAGTTCATAAACTATTATTGGTTTAATCTTTCTCTGGAAGATTGAGAGTTGAGATTCACATGATTTTTTTTTCTATTTTAGGTATTACTCTCCCAAGTGGAAGAGCATATCCCGGGAATCCAGGTATACCAGGATATAAAGGTATACCAGGTATGGCCACCAAAATAAAATAATTATTTTTGCTAAATCAAGTTATTTGTCTTCATTTTAAAAAATAAACAGCTCTCTATAATTTAGACTCATACAAAATTAAAGTGTAGCAAAATCATTTTAGAATGAAAACAGAAATATAAAGGTAAAATAATAAAGTAAAATATAAAATAAATATTTTATCCAAACTAAAAAGTTGGCTTAAACTATTTTGTGATATTCTGTGTAGGAGAAAGTGTGACATTTTATATTGACTGTGAATTAAGTGATGAACATACATATATAGACACAAACATATACATGTATATATACATACACACACATACTATATTCACATACATACATATAGTTGATTAGCATGAAGGTTCTTTCTAAAGGATTAATAATGAATCTCAGATATATTTTGTTTTTGATTCTCTTTGATTCACTATAGAATTCTATCACATCCTTCTAGAAAAGTGAGATGCAATTTGTCTCCTCTATAATTTTAAAAAAAAGCATAACTGAACTGTTATGATGATTTGATTGCTTGCACTGGTGCTTTTGGCCAAGTACCGAATATTAAAACAGAAAGATTTAAATGAACTTTTTTTTAAATAACGTTATTAAAAATAGTGAACAGAACAATAAAATATAATACAAACTAGAAGAAAAGACAGAAAGAAAGTATAAAAAGTTCCCCCAGAAAGTGACTTGGGAGGTACACCTTAAGAAATCTGTGAACTTAAATACAATGGCAAGAACCAAATGTGGCTTTAGTTATCAGGTAATCCCTATTTTGTGACTTCTTAATGTTAAGTGTGTGTTGTTCAGCTTGATTGATAGGCATTTTAAAATATAGAAATTTGAATAAGATTGTTGGCAGAATTTTCTACAATTGCCAAACAAAGCAATTATTGGATGGATTTATGTAGTTGGTTATCTACATAAATCAGAGCCAAGGTGGCGCAGTGGTTAAATGCAGCACTGCAGGCTACTTCAGCTGACTGCAGTTNAGAACCACATGCCTCATCTACATAAGGAATTTTTCGCCTTTTAACCCTTGCTTAACTCTGCTCGAGTGATCATAAAGATAGACTAAATGAGGCACGTGATTCTGCTTAAGCGCTAAGCAGAATCATCCACTGTAACTCTGGCAGCAACTACCTCAGTCTTTTTCCTTTTACATTTTTTTTTTCTTTTCATGATGACAGTGATGAGGCCCTGCCTCCCCTGCATCCCCTGATTGCACGTCCCTGATATGCATGCATTGCTATCATTGTTACTCATTTATGTGACTATAACTATTCTCACATCATTTTATACATAATACTCTAAATTTAACTAAGTTTAGCTTAATTTTTATTATAAACTTTCATTACATCAGCCTGTGTCTTTCCAATAGTAGTGCAGTTTTGTATCTCATGCCATTTGTAGTATTAGTATTCTGGTTATTTTCTTGGTAGGTCTTGTGTTGACTACTCTTCACAACTTGTTGCTCATTGCATATCTTATGAACACTCGAAACCCTCCATCTGTTCCTTCCATCAGCTTGTCTTTGGTTATCACCGATGTTTCTGTCAAGATTTCTCTCCTTACTTCCATCAAATCTTCTCTCTTGTCTTCTTCTGTACTTTGAAATCTGAGATAGAGTTCCGGTCCATCTATCTCCCCTTTCCATAATCCACTCTTGCCATTTCCAACCACGGTCTGTTTACTTTCAGTATCAACAATTTTCTTATCTCTTTGCTCATTTTTCCTTCAATTTTTGGAACTCTATCCTCAACTTTCTTCATTTGATAAATGTCCTCAATTTTCCCATGTCTTTTTGCTGTACTGCATTCTACATTCTACATTCTCTTATCAATTTTCTCTGTTATTACTAATATTTTTTTAATTTAAAACATAATCATTTGCAATTTAATGTTTCTTTTTCATGTTGCGCCATTCTTCAAACTTATAAACACTGCCACTATAGCATTCAAAGCGTTTTGTTATATTTCAAGCAAGTTCATTATAATCTTTCAGGTCAAGGCTTTGTCTTCACTCCAGTCCAGCTACTGATAGTACTCCTAAAGAGCACCTGTGTAAACAATCTGTGCTCTTCCCACTATCACTCTCAATAAACAAACTGAAAAGCCTTGAAATATAAATCAAATGATCAAAGAGACGAAAGAAAAAAGAATGTTTCCAAGCCTCCAGCCTCTGAGTGGCAGTGTTACTTTTTTTCCCTCTGCTGTTACAGCCCTGTTTATATTCCAAGCATACGGAGAAAAATTCTTAAGAAAGAAACAATCCAATCAAGCATTGTAAAAAAAGATGTTTTTAATCCACAAGTATAAAAAAAATAAAAGAAGAAAAAGTAGAAGAAAGACTAACCCATCCAATTTAATAAATAGGAAACATTTGCAGAAATTCCATCCACAAAAAAAAAATTAAGGAAAGATAACACACTAAGTTGAATGTAGCTTAATGTCAACACTTATTTTCTTCTGTCTTCAATTTTAATTTAGTTTTGGTTTTCTTTGGATAGTCTCTTTTCTAATAATAAACTTTCCTTACCAATTTGACACATTTTCTCTTCTGCTTTCTTTCTGTTCCGGAGCTGTCCCAACTTTAGTAGCTTCAAGGCTGCGTTTCGGTCATCAGAAAAAAGAATTTTTCCTGGATCGATCAGGGACTTTGCGGTGTCCCTGAGATCAGCAGGGCGTGGTGTTCTCTATCACCATCTCTACAGGACGGTTTAGGTCCAAAAGGACCATCAAGTGGCAGAAATATTAACTGCAATCTTGGAACTCCAAGATTGTGTGTCATATCATTGTGATGTCAGCTCCTCCTCCCATACCATATTTACCTTTGTACTTGCTTTAGAGTTGGACATAATATATATTTTAATGTGTATGAAATCGTAATATAGTTCTGTAAGTGCATTGTAATAATATAATACTGCTGCTTTTTCTTAGCTCCTAGAATCCAAAGGGAGAAGCAGATCCATCTATGGTGGGGCATAATATTCACCCATGGTTGTCTAATGGGACCTTACAATTTTTATGACTATTTTCTATTAAATTTTCATGGACCATGCAATCATACATCATCCTCTTTTAATGATCCCACAATCCCTTGTGGGGTGGAATCTGGGCAACTGAATGGAGCTGAGTGTTTACTGGCCGGATGCCCTTCCTGGCACCAATGTGGAGTTTTTTCCAGCAGATATATTCTCAGTGTGCTCAGAGAGAGAAATATCTGCATCTACCTAGGATCGAACTCACAGCCTCCTGATTGTGAGGCGAGAGCTCCACCTCTAGGCCAGAGATGGGTCGCTAATTTTTTACTACTCGTTCGGGCACGCTCCTGTGCATGTGATATGCTTCTGCACATGTGCAGAAGCGTCCAGGTGGGTGGAGCCTCCTGCCACCACTACTACTGGTTCAGCCAATCTGGGCCAAACCAGCAGCAACCCACCTCTCCTCTAGGCCACAGCACCACTCCAGGACTATGAAATCATACATACAATCTTCTTGGGCAATACTTTACCAAATATCTATTATATCAAATAATTAGTAGAAGTTCCTATCCCTGCGAGTGAGCTAGGTAACAGTTCCATGAGTATGCACCAAACTTCCTGTCTGATCTTATTTTAATAGAAGTGGCAAGTTGCAAAGCATAAGTCTCAAAAATACAAGTAATCCTTTACTTATAACCACAACTAAGACCAGAATTGTGGTCATAAGTTGTTGCAATCGTAAGTCAAATGACTACGTGACCAAAATCAATTTGACACCAACTTTTACCATAGTCATGAGTGAATCGGGTGATTGTAATGTAATCACGTAGTCATTAAGCAACTCACAGGGTCGTAAGTCTGAATTCAGTTTATCCAAAGAGGGGGGGGACCAGAAAATGGCAAAAATACATAGAATGTGATTATACGACTATGGGACACTGCAATCACATTTAAGTGCAAGTCTGTTGCCATGTGCCCCAAATGGTAGGGCAGTCAGAACTTCGAGAACAGGCCATCACTAACTGTCATAATTTTGAATGGTAATTAATCAACCAGTCATAAGTCAAGAACTACCTGTAAATTTTTCCAACAATCTTCTGAGCCACTTAGTGAATCCAAAGACCATTTTAGAAATACAGTGATGGAAATTGTAGCTTTGTTGGGAAGCACAGGCAAGTAACCAGGAAAAAATAATACAGTAAACTGAGGTGGATGGGATTCTAAGGCACAATGTGGTTCTATAAATTCCTGGCTTGTTTATACTAAAAAGTTGCATTTCTTAGGAATTTCTGCATACACAATTGTTGGGGACCCTAAGTAGGTTAACTTCTTGCTCTAGTAAAATTATTGGACAGTGTGTTGGATAAAATTCTCTTACTTGCATGATCCAAGACAAATATTTCCTACAAAAAAACAGTACAAATTAGAAAGGAGGCACTAGTATAGAGGAAGAACTAGAATTATTTATAATTATTTTATTTTACATCTTTGTTGTTTATATAGTATTTGGCTCCCAATGAGATCATTAGCACTCATTTCCCATGTCAACGATCATGTTTGGATGCATGTATGATACTTGATTTATTTCCTCAAACAGGCAGAATTTTATATTTTATGTACAATAAGTTTAGCGGTTAAGGCATCAGCTAGAAACTAGGGGACCAGGAAGCCATGAAAGTCCCCTGGCTGACCTTGGGCAAGTCATGCTCTTCAGCCCAACTCATCTCGCAGGATTGTTGTTTTGGGAACAGTAGGAGAAGGAAGGTGTGTCGGACACGTTTGCCACCTTGAATTAGTAAAAATAATAAAGACAGAATACAAATAAATATAAATAAATAAAATAAACTACACCTGTTTGTTTCTTTCAGGGTACCCAGGGACCACCAGGTCCTCCTGGACACCCAGGATGTGATGGCCAAAAAGGATCAAAAGGTAAGGATGCAATAATAACGCCAATAACTAATGACCTAAAATCACTTGTCCTTCGAAACTGCATATAGGTAAAGGGTCCTCTCGCACATATGTGCTAGTTTTTCCCAACTCTAGGAGGCGGTGCTCAACTCTGTTTCAAAGCCAGCGCTGTCCAAAGACGTCTTCATGGTCATGAAAAAACACCGAAGGAGCACATAACGCTGTTATTTTCCCACCAAAGTGGTTCCTAGTTTTCTACTTGCATTTTTACTTGCTTTCAAACTGCTAGGTTGGCAGAAGCTGGGAGAAGTAACAGGAGCTCACTCCGTAACGCAGCACTAGGGATTCAAACCGCCAAACTGCCGACCTTTCTGATCGACAAACTCAGCATCTTAGCCACTGAGCTACTGGATCCCCTTTGAATCTGCATATATACATACATACATACATACATACATACATACACACACAAACACACACACACACACATGCATTATGTGCAGAATAACTTTTGAAAAATAATTTTCAGAAGAAATGCCAATAATGCTAATTTGAATTAAACTTATTTAGTATATAAATTAACATATTAATAAAAATTAATTAATGATTTTTTTGGGATGGAAACAGAGATATGTTGTACAGATGTATTTAAAAGCCAACCACATTGGAAGCAATGGCATTTCATTCGTAACAAACCAATAAGATTAAATAGTAAAAAACACAATTTGATTGATAGCCCAATCTCATACCTCATACCTCTCTAAAAAGAAATGGTAATGGGTAAATAATATCGCATTCAATTTATTCAAAATAATAATAATAATAATAATAATAATAATAATAATAATAATAATAATAATAATAATAATAATAATAATAATAATAATANCGGTATATAAGTCTAACTGCTATTGCTATTGCTAACTGCTATTATCTGCAGCCTTTTTTTAGTTTTATGAATAGAGCTCACTTTTAATTTTCTTTATAGAATGTTTAAAAGTGTTTAAAATTCAGTAATGCACCCTTGTGTTATTTTTGTACATTAGGTCCAAAAGGATTAAGAGGTCCACCTGGACCACCTGGACCCAATGGTTTTGATGGTTTCAAAGGCCAGAAAGGTAGAGTAGGAACATCAGGCAATCCTGGTCCGGAAGGTAAGTGAAAAAATCCAAATATTTTGTTTATTAAACATGGAAATCTACAAAAACCAGTCTACATTGCCTTAACTATTGTTGCTTTCCCCACTGTAGTTGATGCAACACCGAAACATAAATGTGTACAGATTCCTGAATGCTGAAAAAAATCATAATTAAAATCATATTTAGGACAGAATTACAGCATAGTGATATATAGTATCTCTCTATCACTGAGATATGCAAATAGCAGTAACATAATCTCTTTTTAACTATTATTGTTTCTTAATTTCGTATAATTTCTGAAAATGTAAAGAAGGTTCCTATATTTAAAGCATTGATAGAAACCAGTTTAAATGTAAACTGGTTTCTATCATATGCTTTCAAAATATATCCAGAATTGATTGGTATCTTTGTTATTCTGTTATTAAGAGCTTTACAACCCCTTCTCTTCCACCAAAGTCAATAGGTGGTGATCCAACAGAAATAGTTGCCTTTTTCCATATACTGTTTGGCATGATCATGTCCTCTCCAAAGAAAATTCCATTCTGTTTTGAAATCATGAAGCCACAATCATTTTTCATAGAAAAATGATTTCTTAAAGAAATGATCTTTTTTTTAAAAAAAAAAATTACTTAAGTATAAAAAGTTATGTCAGAATCTCATGAAAAAGTTTACTGTTTGTTATTGTTATGGTTGGTTGTATAGTCAGCCAGATGTTTAGAGTGAATTTGGCATTTTTATTCACCTATCAAGTTCTTCTTCACTAGAGACAAATAGACCAATGTTGTTTGATAGTGTTAAAGATGACATAGCAGGATGTAAGCTTTCCAAGTAAAGCGACCTTTTGAAATTGACTGATGGTGATTTTGTCAATGCTGATGATATTCAAGAGATGCCCCAGTTGTTTTGGGACTGCACCTAAAGTGCCTATTACTATTGGTACTGTCTTTGCTTTCTTTTGCCACAATCATTGTACTTCTATTTGCAGGTCTTTGCATTTTATAATCCATCTTTCCTTCCTTCCTTCCTTCCTTCCTTCCTTCCTTCCTTCCTTCCTTCCTTCCTTCCTTCCTTCCCACCTACCTTTTTTGATAATTTACTACAAAAACAAAATTTTGAAGTATAGTATCTTAGGCTACAAGATAAGACCTTCCCAATGTAACAGGCTTGAGAATTAAGGGACTTGTAATATATCTGGAAGGTTACTGCAATTGCAATGTCAATAGACCTCAGAAGAGTGATCGTGGTGGTGCAATGGTATTGCAGGCTAATTTTGCTGACTGCTAGCTGCCAGCAGTTTTGCAGTTTGATCCTGACTAGCTCAAGGCTGATTCAGCCTTCCATCCTTCCGAGATTGGTAAAATGAGGGCTAAGATTGTTGGTGGCAATATGCTGACACTGTAAACTGCTTACAGAGGGCTGTAAAGCACTATGAATTGGTATATGTCTTATGTCCTAGTGCTGGTGCTAAATATAGTTCATATTGTAGTATTTTCTGTATTCTTATTTTGTATATTGTTTCATTAGAAACTGAACATATTGGAATGAATTAACCATTAACCTGTGTAATCTATATGTCATTATTCTAAGGTTTAAGGGGTGAGACTGGTGATCCAGGTGAACAAGGTGAACAAGGTTCAAGTCCGGATGGCCCTCCTGGATTGCCAGGCCTTCCTGGGCTTCAAAGTCCAAAAGGTGTTCCAGGTGACATTACCTACAGCCCTCCAGGTACCCCGGGCAAAAGAGGTCTTCCAGGGCTACCAGGTTTGCCAGGCCTAACAGGTGACCCTGGATTTCCTGGGCTTCCAGGTGAGAGGTCCATACAATTCAAAGATGTACTTGAATTCCACCAGTTATATTTTATTTGCCAGAGAGGGGCTGGGGGCTGGAATAAAAATAAATAAAACAAATTTGTAGTATAAGAAGCCAAAGGATGCAAAATTAAATCTTATTGGGGAGGAAACAGTTTTTAAAAAGAGTTAATAAAAATAAAGAAAATGGGAAGACATACAGTCTTTTTTAATTACCCAGATGGCCACTCTTATTTCTACTTTCCGTCTCCTTTCAGAAACACATTTAGTTGCATTTCCTTTTCTATAAAATATGGAACAATTCAATCATAGTTAATTCAGTAAGCACATCAATCAAAATATAAGAAAAAGGAAGGAGATAACTCAACAAAAAGAAGTGTAAAAACCAAAGTATTTTATGAATTAGAGAAACATTATAAAATGTTATTGTCATTTTTAGTCTGAATCAAATAGAAGTGATGCATCTTGCCACATTCTGATTGCCCATGAGCACCGTAACATCATAAGACTTAAAATATGCATAGCAAATTCCATTTCCTACAGTAGTTTCACAATCTTTCCTTCTATCTTTATCAGTGGGACTGAATGGACCACATCAGTGCTTTTAAGATTTCAGAGATAAATGAGTTTTTAGTTCCTATTGTTCTGTCCTCATGCTTGAGTTATTTTAAGTAGATATGATTTCCCGAAGCTACAGATTCACTGATGAATCTGTTTTGTTACAAATTGGTGCATTAGCATCATTATCAAAATATTTCTAGAGGGTATATGTGGAGCAAAGCTGTACAAATAAAGTCAATTTCTGATATATACTTTTATCTATTTTATAGCAAATAGAATTTAAATTCAGGAAAGGGCAATATTATCTGAAAGTATGCAGACATAATTAAGACTTTTCTATTTTTTAAATGTCACTTTATAGTAAATTGGATTTAAAATTCCAGGAATGCCATGGCATCTACCACATAAAATGAAGACCCAAATTGTTGGGGGCAATATGCTGACTCTGTAAACCGCTTAGGGGGTGCTGAAAAGCACTGTAAATTGGTATATAAGCCTTAGTGCTATTGCTATTAAGCATGTTAATTTTCAACTTTTCTAGGAAAGTGAGATATTTGTTTGTCGCCTCCCCCCCCCCCAACTTATAAAAGTAATAATCTGTTTTCAGGGCAACCTGGCACACCAGGGCTTCCAGGAGCTAAAGGTCTCCGAGGCCAAAAAGGTGACACAGGAGTGATGGGTTATCCTGGATCACCTGGTCTGGTCTGTGAGAAAATGTTGCAGGGGCTACCAGGACCATCAGGCTCTGTTGGAACACAAGGACCTAAAGGTGAGCACATCACAATTTAATATGGATGAAAACAAAAATCACATACATCTTCATTGATCATATTCTCTACATGATTAATACCTAGTATTTGGACCCATCAGATAGTTGGTTTTAGCCTTCATTCAAGTTCCTGTTTGGCCTTCAAAGCAATAATCCAACAATAGCATTCAGTAGCAATCTTCATTAAGTGGTCAACATTTACTGCATATCTCAACTATAAAACTTTCCCAGAAAATATTAATTTCAGACTGCACATCATGGAAGTTCTTGTCCCTTCATATCACAGAGAATTTTTTTCTTAAAATTGATTTTTTAAGTTGTTGCTTAATTGAAGGCTATGTCAAGATTTCAGACGGATCCAAACTGATTTAAACATTTATGCACGTGAGCATTTAACTTTCTTTCCCATTTTTTGTGAGGCAGGGAAATGCTCAACAAGCCAAAATATACAACGGGGTGCAAATCTTCTCAAACTTGTTTACATATCTATAGGTGTAAGCATGTATATGCATAGTCACACATTGTCTATGTTGTCTCTGCATGTATGTATATGTGAGTGTGTCTACAGACATGCACACAGACAAATGCATACTAGCATTGTTGCATCTTTGCATTAGTATCATGATGTGCATTGTCAAAGTAGCAGTGATATTTCTACATTTGTAGGGGAAAAAATCAACACACACCATTTATGTTATTCTTGTGCTATGCTTTCAATTCTAAACTGGTTTAAGGAAAATCCTATATGGACTAAAACCTTTTGGAATTCAGTTTGGATTAGAAGCTACCAGATCTTCTCATTGGACCATTCCCCTGTGTTCTCCCAAATTTCTTTAGCAGGAAAGCAATATCTAAATTTTTCCTGTCCTGCATACATGTTTTCTTTAACATATATACTTGTATCTGTGTGGGTACATACTGACATGTGTGTCAGTATCTATCACCAGCATGATCCTTCTGATCTTCCATCGTGCACCCATCATCATTACAACAAATTCCATCCACTTTGATGCTGGTTATCTTTTTCCCCCTCTTTCCCAGCATTAGAGCTTTCTTTAGGGAGCTCGGTCTTTACCTAATTGATCTGAAGTAGAATAATTTGAGCATGGTGATTAGTATTGTGAGAACTTTCCCTCCAAGGCTTTCATTGGAACTGTACTAAGTGCTAGTCCACAGTATATTTCTTGACTGCTGAATTCTTTATTGTTAATCATCAATTCTAAAAGGCAGAACTATCCTATCTACCACTTCAGCATCTTCATTGTCAGATCTAAGGCTGGTGGGTGTATTCTTTTGTCACCCATTTGATCTTTATATGCAATCTTTTTGTTTTGTTTTGTTTTCATTGACTTTCTCATTTTTCTCATTGACTTTCTTTACTAGAGCTTGCAGATCACTTGCATTTTCAGCTTTCAGAGTAGTATCAGCATAGCACAGGTTATTGCTCTTTCTTCCTCCAGTTTTAAAATCAGGCTATTCTTCCTCTAATCCAACTTTTCTCAACATATACTCTCCAAATAGGTTAAATATATAAAATGAGAGTATATAACGCTTTGTCTCACTCTTTTGCCATCCTGGAGCCAGTCTGTTTCATCATGTGGCTACCATGTGTATCAGAATGTGCCTTCCTGGCCTTTGTATAGGTTTTGCATAAAGACAATGGAATTCCTATTATTCTCAGCACATTCCACAGTTTGACATGATCAACAAAATCAAAGGCCTTTCTATAATCAATTAAGCACAACTGACTTCTTTCTAGCATTCTTTGACTTACACTGTTATCCAACATGCATTAGCAATGTTTTTTATACCTGGCCCTTTCTAAAGCCATTTTGGACATCTGGCACCTCCTTTTTCAGATACAGCTGTAATCTGTGTTAGTTGACACTGTAAGTACATGAAAGTAAGGATATTGTGTGATTATTGGCACATTCTTAAGTCTCTTTTGCTTATTGTTATTAGAATGACCTTTTCCACTCAGTTGGCTACTGTGTCATTCTGAAGATTTGCTGGCATTGTTTGGTTAGAACAGNATAGCCATTTGTCTGGAATGGTATAGGGTTTCCTGCCTAGCCAGTGGGTTGGACTAGAAGACGTCCAAGGTACCTTCCAACTCTGTTATTCTATTCTATTCTAAATCCACCTATCAATTTCTTAAAGGTCCCTATAAAACATTCACAAAGAAAATATGGCCTTTGGGGAAAAAAAACACATAAAAAATAAATTGCCTGCTCCTTATATAAAGTATGTAACCTACTATATACTAATTTTCTAAAGACATCTTCAGTTTTGACGAAACCTCTGCAGAACTCAAATGCATTATAAGCTATCTAAATTCCAAATGTTTTCAATGTATCTTCTCATCTGTCTCATTATAATTAACTTTTTAAGAAAAAGACTAAAATTATGCACAATCCCTATAGGTATCCTATATTAGAGATGGTTTTTATTGGGGTTTTTGGTTAACATTCCTTGCAAGACAGAAAGGAATTTTAAACTTTACAGACTTTATGATATGCATCCAGTTTTCTTCATTATTACAATATAATTATTTCCTTTGTATATATGCTTATTCTACAACATGGGTGCATCACACACTGGCTACACCCACCCCTGGTCTAGCGAAGGGAGAAAAAGTCCCGATACATGACATGACGACAACTTGACACCACGAGTTTGACACCCCTGCTCTACAACTATTGGAAATTATTTTTCTTATTAACTGAGGCTGACTTGAATAGTAACATGAACGTATTTCTTCAGATAGTAATTATAAGCTTTCCATCATTTGTAGGGGTAAAAGGAGAAAGAGGTGTTCCGGGGCTACATGGATTTCCAGGAATAAATGGCAGTTCTGGCAAGACTGGAGAAGGAGGATTCCCAGGCGATAAAGGGATTCAGGTAAATCTGTTTATTTGAAGCCTGCCTTTTATTGTAAATCAGTACCTTTTCCTTTTCAAAGAAATTTCAGGAGTTGGCAATATCTGGACATCTGTGTCTAGTCCAGGGGTGGGTCCGATAAGATCTCACAGGATGGGCCTTCTCCGGGTGCCGTCAACTAGACAATGTCATTTGGTGGCTCCTCGGGGGAGGGCCTCATCTGTAGCTGCTCCGGCCCTATGGAATGATCTACCCCCAGAAATCCGGACCCTCCCCACTCTCGCGGCCTTCTGAAAGTCTATTAAGACCTGGCTTTTCCGGCAGGCCTGGGGCTGTTGACCTCTTGAATGAGGTCCGGCCCCACTAAGGTTGAGTGCATGTTGGGTCTTTTAACTTGGCTTGTCTTTCACTTTTTAAACTTTTTAGTAATCTTTTAACTGTTTTTTATGTAAGCCACCTGGAGTCCTTCAGGATTGGGCGGCATATAAATTTATTAAACATTCATAAACATACATTTGTTCTGGCCAGGGAAGTGCAGGCAGGGGAGGCAGAGCCTCACCACTGTCATCATGAAAAGGAAAAAATNTGGCCTGTTTCTATGTTTGGATTACCCTTTCCTCTTTTAATACATTCAGAAGTTTTAGCTCTAACTTTTTCCAGTGCCATTGTAACTTTGAATGGTCACTAAACATATTGTTGTAAGTCGAGGGCTACCTATACAATTAAACTATTTTAATTAAATAAAGGTAAGTATTTTATAATTATAGAATGCCATTAGGTCTCAATGTATCCAAGACTCTAGATTTCTTCTAGATAAGAAGTACGATATAATCCCAACTACACATTGTCACACTGCCTTAAAGAGATAAGCAAAAAGGTTGGATGATTGGTTGGTTTGCTTTTTTAAAAATAAGGGATTAAAATTTCAGCTAGTAGGTTCTTCATTCTTGATGCTGATATTGGGACTGATGTAGGGTGTCCATATCAGAGGTGGGTTCCTAACGATTTGGACTAGTTCGACTGAGTAGGTAGTAACTTGGCCTGCCACACACCCAAACCAGTTCTATCGGCGGTGGCGCCATCTTGAATTTTGGTTCTCTGCATGCGCAAAACAATCTTTATTGCAAAACAAATGTCCTTTTCTAACATTGTGCGCATGCACAGACCTTTTTAGGTGCCAATGTGCACGCATTTTGTTTTGCGGGCAGAAACCTACCCCTGGTCCATATAATACAGAGATTTCATCAACATGAGAAAATGTGTTTTGTTACATTACAATGCAGGCTCCCTATAACGTGATGTTGGTGGAATTTGTCTCATGAAGTAACAATACATGTTATTGCTTCCTGTGAACATCCATGCTTCATCTTTATTGTTTTACAAGTGAATAAAGACATTTTCAGAGTTCTGATTATGTCCTTTAAACATCAAATAAACACATATATAAAATGTGGTATGTACTCTGTATAATTATATCACTGTGGAGATCCCAGAGGCGGATAGACTTCAAGCAATTATATTGTAGTAAATTGTTCCATGCATTCTATTTTGAAGGTGAACCAGGATTACCAGGGGACAAGGGCAGCAGCAATGTCCTGCAAGTAAAGGGACCAAAGGGAGAACTAGGCCTTCCTGGTGACGAGGGATTACCAGGGGTCCAAGGTAAGCATGTAAATTAGGTACATATATTAACAAGGCTGCCTCAAGACATTTTTCCACCTCCGTGCCCCCAACCAATATAGTCAAGAAGTTGCATTTTTGAGAGAAGCTAAATTATTGAAGCATCGAGGTGCGAAAATAACATTAAGCCTTTTCATCACACACATATCAGTTAAAATCAGTTAAAACAGTACAAATTGAGAACCCGCATTTGCCCTCAGCACCTTAATAGCAGTAATAGCAGTAGACTTATATACCGCTTCATAGGGCTTTAAGCCCTCTCTAAGCGGTTTACAGAGAGTCAGCATATTGCCCCCANTAGAACAGGGATGTCAAACTCAAGGCCCAGGGCCTGTGGAGTGCTTAAATCTGGCCTGCAGGACCACCCTGGAAACAGCAAAGGACTGGCCCGCAGTGCCTCTGCCAGTGAAAACGGAGCTCATGAGGGTCGCATGAGGCCCTCACAAGCTTTTTTTCCTATGGCAGAGGGTTGCAGGAGGCCATCACAGCCAAGAACTGACATCAGGAGTCTGTTTTCACTGACAGAGCACTCTGGCCACCACAGGAGTCCCTGACATGAGTGGCGTTGAGCTGGCCACACCCACCCTGTTCCCTGAAGTAAAACACAACCTGGTGCAGCCCTCAATGAAATCGAGTTTGACACCACTGGGTTAGAACCTTTTTAAAATCTATAACTATTTCATTAGAAAGCCTTCCTAGCCTCCCTACTTGGCAATGAAACTTATACACAAAAAGCTTGTAATCAGCTCCTTGCCTTGTCTTTGTTGTTATAAGTGAGCTCTTCCACCTCCTTGTACCAATAATATCGTCAATTTGGTTTCTGTATACTTCATCAATGAACATAAGGTGTCATTTTGGTTGCTGGAAAATTATGTTAGCAATAAAGAAATAATTGGAGTGAATAGTTTCCTTATAGAAGGAAGCAACATCAATACAGCTCTAAAGACTTGGCTGAAGAATTTCAAATTCTGCTTCTAAATGCTCTGAATGTTATTGTAATTTTGCCTATCTTGTCTGGTTTCCTTTGCCTCTTCCAGTTCTTGGATATCTAGATGTGGTGAGTGAAAAGGAACAAGTAGACATAATTAGAAGAATTCCCTTTTTAAATGTTGCTTTGGAAAGAATAACATATTTCTTGCTGTATTTTCCCATTAGGATTGAAGGGTATTAAAGGTCCTCAGGGAGATATGGGAGCACCAGGCCCAGCTGGAATGAAAGGATTGCCGGGAGCCCCTGGAACCCAAGGGCCACCTGGCTTTCCAGGCTTACGAGGAGATCCAGGATTTTCAGGGGAAAACGGACTGCCAGGTCTTCCAGGAACAAAAGGTATATAACTCTAATAAAAAATTCTCTGAATTTTAAATGTAAACATCATGTATATGTATCATTTTCAATAAAATAGATATGAGCCTGCTGATTTGGGGGTTCAGAATCTAAAAATATGAAACGTGAACCTGCGTTGGACAAGCCATGACTTGTTGTGGAATCCAGTTGATACATCAGTATTGTATAACTTAACGACCCCTTTTCTCTCAATGTTCTATCAAGGAGACAAAGGATCCCAAGGCATGCAAGGTTTCCCAGGCCTCCCAGGAAATGCAGGAGAAATGGGAGCATCAGGTGTAAAAGGAGAAGAAGGGCAAATTGGTCTATCTGGTCCTCCAGGAGAATTTGGGAGAAAGGGTTCCAAAGGTATGTAGAATAATAATGAATAACCTCTCTGTCTCATCTCTCATATCTCTCATCTTTATCTATCTATCTGTCCGTCTATCTATCTATCTATCTATCTATCTATCTATCTATCTATCTATCTATCTATCTATCTATCAATCAAACTATTACTTAAACATACTATAATTAATTATAATAATATAATAAATTATAATATTATATTATATATATATTTAAATAAATAAATAAATAATATTATATTATATATATAATCTAAGACTATATATATATAGTGTATATATATACACACACACACACACACGCACACACACACACACACACACACATAATTTATCATTAAACATACTGTCAAACTATTTACTAAGTCTGCACTACTCTTAATCTTCTCATCATTCCTATTACTCATCTCCTTCCACTTCCACTTATGATTGTATNTGGAATTTGTGCAAAAATTATAATATTAAAACAACAACAAACTGGTGATCCACTGCTTGGATCTGCACGCATATTACGAAAATACGTTACGACGTCCTAGGCCCCTGGGTGGGGCCCGACTAGTAATCAATGCCAAATCCGGCGAAACAACTGGCCACTGTGATACAATTATATAACAACAAGAAGAAGAAGAAGAAGAAGAACAACAACAACAACAACAAAGCATTTCAGAAAGATTAAGTGAGTTTGCTTTGTAAATATTCTTACTAGATCCAGTTTTGTGGAAGCCGGGGGAAATAGAAGCATTTGTCAAAAGCAAAATTAGCTAAACTGAAAAGCGGATCCAATTCACACTACTTTAAGAAGTGATGGAAAATGGTTCAAATTTCTTCTCACATCACTAATGCTATAGAAAGTTTTTTTAAAAAAAATAATGTTCATTTTGTTTTAGTTACAGAGAGTGTCAGATTTTTTTTGCGGGTGGGGGGGAGGAATCATTTTGTTAAATTATGTAAAATGACTTCAAGCTTTTGGTAATGCTGTTAGACAAATGAAAAGTTCTGAATAGCCCAAAGGGTGGATATTAGCATGAGAAATGCAAACAAAAGTGGTCTATTTTCTTAGTTGATAGTTGAGGATAGATTTCAAAGGTAACATCAATTCCCACTGTTTACAGGTAGCAGAGGTGACCCAGCTACTCATTATGGTGAACCTGGCAAGAAAGGCCCTATAGGAGTCCAAGGCTTACCAGGTGATATTATTTTCAATTATTTTTAGACAATCTCACCACAGTTGGTATATACAATATTAATTTCTTTTCTAGTTTAGCATCCATAAAGCAATAATTCACCTGGAGTATCTTTTTCATCTTTGTATGAATTTGCACTCAACTTTCTACTTTTTACTTTTTCACAAGGAACCATGCACAATAAGAAATCCCCTCTTCCCTTTCACACTTCAAACATTAAAGGGTATTATCTTAACTATAGACTATAAATAGTGTGGTTATTATAATGTTTTCATTGTAATTCAGAATTACTCCTTGCATTTTGTATAGGTGGTGAACTGATGATGAACAATAGGCTCATGGTTAGCTTTGGATGCTAGTTGCAATATCCATCTGTCTAGAAAGAGAAGTCAATAAGCACATTCTACTGAAAAATGTTTACACTAAAGTTCGATTGTTTTGTGACTGTTTAAGGACTTCCTGGATTACCTGGAGACCAGGGTATATTAGGTGTTCAAGGAGAACCAGGAGAACAGGGTTCCAAAGGGTTGTCTGGAAACCCAGGGATACCTGGATTCCCAGGTGAGAAAGATCTAAAGAAAAATGGAATTAATATTGAATCAAATATTGTGAAGTATGATGATGGACAGGTCAGTGAAAGTGATCACATGAATAATGGAATAAGACGAAAACAAAGATACTAATAGAAATGTAATTTACACGCACATTCACAATGTTACCTTACAGACATGTGAAAAACATACCCCTTTTCTTCACCTTAGACTAGGAAAAATCAGCTTTGTTTTGTGTAAATCCACACGATTGAATTCATTTTTTAATTGCTATTCATGGTTGCAGGGGATAGTTAATGGCATGTCAAAATGTCCCCTCCTTCCCCCCCCTTTTGATATTGGGGTGATTTGGGCACATTTAAACTGATAAATAGTTTTTTAAATGTGAATGTCTTTAAATGCAAAATGGGTATTGTGGGTTAGAGTGTATGAGGTGTCCCAGAAGGCCTGTGCCAGAAGAACAGCAAACTGATAGTCCAACCTGCTTCAGTTTTTGGCCTGCCACTGCAGGTACTTGAACTTCCTTTAGAATGGCCGGCTTAATGCCAGTTTAGTCTGAATTTATTCCTAGATTTATATAACTCTAGAGATTCTAATCACCATGTTACTAAATTACGGATAATTCTAACAACATGAGAGAGAATAATATATTGTGTTTAAATATGGGAAATGTCTATTTAATTTTAGGTGTGCAGGGAGCTGCAGGATTTCCAGGCCCTCCAGGTGAACAAGGTGAACCTGGTTTTTTGGGAACTCAAGGTTTCCCAGGATCACCTGGTAACCCAGGTAGAAAAGGTAAATATTGTGGAGAAATATGATTATTGCAGATGTCAGTTTTAATGGTATTAAAATGCATACATGATGGTTGTTATAAGTGTACTGCATTAACTGGTGTTTTGAAAACGCATCTATAGCCTACCTATTCTATACTACTAGGTTTGTATCTTTAGTGAAAGAAGTTGTAAAAAATTAATTGCCTGTGGAACAAAAGTTGGAAGAGCAAAAAAGAAGAAATGCTGCCTAGGGAATTATCAGATAAAAGAGGGCATAGCCCACAGCTGCATAATAAGTGGACAAAGGGGCTCAATGGGTTCTTGCTAGGTTTTCAGGCTGGAAAGGAGATGACAGGAGAGCCATACTGTCAGAACTGCAAGATTTTGTTAATGTACAATGCAGAGGTGGGGTTCAATTTTTTTTTAATACCGGTTCTGTGGGCGAGGCATGGCTTGGTGGGTGTGGCATGGTTTGGAGGGTGTGGCGGCAGAAGGATACTGTAAAATTTCCATTCCCACCCAGCTCCAGCAGGATACTGTAAAATCTCCATTCCCTCCCCACTCCAGGGAAAGGTTACTGCAAAATCCCCATTCCCTCCCGATCAGCTGGGATTCATAGATGGGGACGGGATTTACTGGTTCTCCATACTACTCAAAATTTCCACTAACAGTTCTCCAGAACTGGTCAGAACCTGCTGAATGCCACTTCTGGTACAATGAAATAGAACTGTAGGTGTTCGGGTACATTAAGATCCCTCATCATCGCACTGGGTACCAAATAACTAGTAATTAATGACAGTACCCTAATGATAGTAATTAGAGCTTGCAAGTGATGAGGTAAACCTGATAACAACTTTGATGAAATCACTGACATCACAATTTTGTTTCCAAAGTAAAATTAAAATAAACAGATGCAAGTGGTATTATATTAAAATCTGTGCAAAATAATCAAACTGGATCACTGATAATTTTTTTCATCTTCCTCATTTGGCCAAGTTAGAAAAAAACATATGGTCTTGAGTTAATTTCAAACATCTGCTTCTTTGTTTATTACATATCATGAAATCCAATGATTTACAATGCAAGATATAAAATGCACAGTTTTAAGATCATAAAACAGTAACTATAATAAAACACACACGCAAGTAATATAAAATAAAACAATAAACATTTCTAACTAATCAGAGGAATACTAACTTTCCAAGGTTGCGTAGAAGAGTTCTGTTTGAACAGCTCTGCAGAACAATACCAGAGTGGTGCAAATTGGATTTGGGATGGATAAAGCAGTTTCATAGGGTGGAGATTGAAACCTATCTCCAGATCTCTACTTTCCTCAATTTCTGTATGTAGGAACCTAACACATCTCCAGGTAGGAAGAACATACAGAATGAGTCATTTATGCCCACACAAATATTTGCATTCTAGTTGCCTTCTCATTAGCTTTTCAGACAACCAAGGTAAAGATTGGGATCTGCAAATATGGATAAGATTTTAGGTAGATTATCCAAATATGTCAGTAGGAAAATCTCCAAAATCTTAGGAATCTCTTTAGATTCATGAGGATTTGGTATCTTAGTGGTTCTTAAATTTTTGTTGAAGTTATTTTTTGCCAGCAGCCCTAACCTGAGCATGTCATAAATCATAGAAATACAAAATCATAGAATGTAAAAGAGGTCTTGTACCTTATGGCTAGCGCAGGAATCAACAATTACAGCATACTGCATCAGATGCATGAAAGAGAAATACATATTTAAGAATCATTATTTTTAAAGAAAGCTATTTAGCTAGCAATTCTAATTTAGAGAAGTTCCACACCTCTGAATAATGTCTTAAAATAAACAATTATTTCTTTCTTGTACTTCTTTCTCAATCAAACTTAAATTAAAGGAATTTAGCATCTTTACTTCAGAATGGTATATTTATGAAGTCCAATTAGAAGTCATGCAAGGATGATTGAAGGGGCTTGAATTCTTTTGAGTTCCTAAAGATCCATTTCGCAGAATGAAGTGGAGTGGAAAATTATCTTTACTGTTACCTCTGTCCGGAAGATCCCCACGAATGCTATAAAATTATGGCACATTTTATTACAAAAATTATAATTTATAATTTATAAGTTATCAATAAGAATACTGAGAGAACATTTTACACTATATCGTTACTGCCAATCTTCCATTCCATTTAATCACCTTCAGAAAGTCTTTGGCATGTATTAAATATTTTCTGTGAAAAACTAGGGAATAGATTGGTAAGAGACCAAAAAATATAAAATTATGGTTTTATAATTAGTTTTATCTTCCTGGAAGTAACAAAAAGTTTACATCTGCTAAAATTTTGATAGAAAAAAATTGATCATTTGATGACTTGTTGCATTTGTCTACTTGTTGCATGTTTATAAAATGATCACTTTTCCCCCTGGATTCATTCCATCCTATTTTCCGCAAAATATTAAAGGCTTATCTGGATCACCTGGAGTAAATGGTGTAAATGGACAAAAAGGTCAAAAGGGTTTGCCAGGACCTCCAGGTAAAGAATGAAAATTATTATACTTTTTTAAAAAATTAAAGGCAATATCAAGAAACAATTGTTTACACTTAATAAATGTATAATGCTTGGCTCTTGATGATATTAATTATTCTAATGCAAACTAGAAAAAATATGCCATAGATAATATTATTATATTGGAAGATCTAATGAAGAAAATAATTATACTGCAAGAAATTAGTTAACTGTATTTTGAATGAAATATTCATGATGTAACAAAAAAAGGTAATTATCAGAGAAAACTCTATATGAGTCTTTATGCACGTGATTAGTATTACAGAATTATCCATGGTAGTTTCTACTAGCAGTCTCTCACCCATGTTACTTTACAAATTTTATTGACCTTAGTTGCGTCTGGAAGAACTGAAGGACTTAATATCCCAAGTAGGAAAGCTGAAAAAACACATATTGACCAAATATAGCTTCAGTTGGATACAATATCAAAGAAATAAATATTTTGTGCCATTAAATCCAACACTCATTCCCTTTCACTCATTATTGTGCTCTTATAAAGGTTTAAGTGAAATGGGACCTCCAGGGTGCATAGGAGAACAAGGGCCAAAAGGTAACAGAGGAGAACCTGGGCTACCAGGAAGAACTCAAGTAGGTCCTCAAGGAGAGAAAGGTCTAAGAGGTCCTCCTGGTAAGTAAGAGATATCTTAATTTTTTAAAAAATACATCATTTGTTTTGGTTATACAAGATGTGGGGGAAATGCCCACGTAAATCATAAATCAGAATGATTGGAGATAGATGAAACTAAGTATATTTTATTGGTAAGCACAACTACATCACTGGACTTCTCACCAAAGGAACACAGAAGAGCCCTGAACATAGCAAGGTTAAAGGTTATACCAGGGGTCTCCAACCTTGGCAACTTTAAGACTTGTGGACTTCAACAAGTCCACAAGTCTTAAAGTTGCCAAGGTTGGTGACCTCTGGATTATACTGTATAGTTTTGGCTTGTTGCATAGGAATGAAAAAATGAAATTATGTAAATCATATTATGACCTCTAAATCAGAATGTGTTAGATAAAACATTTGGGGATGATCTTATATTGACACCCTACATTGTTCTACACTATAAAATTCTATCTTGCCAGATTCCAATCGTTTAGTTTGATAAACAATGGCTTTATTGTCCTTATATATTGCATCATGTCATACCATTCTTTGCCTCACAGTTAGAAGGGGCAAGAGTCTCATTCCATGTGTCTCTATTCCAGAGTCAGAGATTCTTAGTAAATGAAAATAAAATCAGATGTATAACACCTCCATAGTCAGTTGATAAATAATGTTTTGACTCTTTCAAAAGCTGTAATATGTAATGACTATGTAATAATTTATTGAATTCTCATACTGTCACTTTTTGCATAGTGATTAAAACAAATATGTGCAATACGAACCTTTTCTTAAGTAAATATGACAGGAAAAATGAAATGTATAAAACATGGACAATATTAATATTTTACCTTTATTCTTTTTTTCCCTTGCAGGTAAGCCAGGTGTTTCTGGTCCTGCTGGCCTTATGGGTCAGCCTCCTGAAAATAGAACTTGTGGCTTTCCTGGAGATCAAGGTTCGACTGGCTCAGATGGCATTAGAGGTACTTCTAAAGAAGTATTTGAAGAACAGAATTGCAAAAGTAGATTGACCCAATTAAAATACAATAGCAGAGTTGGAAGGGACCTTGGAGATCTTCTAGTCCACCCCCCTGCCTAGGCAGGAAATCCTATACCGTTTCAGACAAATGGCTATCCAACATCTTCTTAAAGACTTCCAGTGTTGGGGCATTCACAACTTCTAGAGGAAAGCTATTCCACTGATTAATTGTTCTAACTGTCAGGAAATTTCTCCTCAGTTCTAAGTTGCTTCTTGTTTCCACCCATTGCTTCTTGTTCTACATTCAGGTGCCTTGGAGAATAGTTTCACTCCCTCTTCTTTGTGGCAACCCCTGAGATATTGGAACACTGCTATCATGTCTCCCCTAGTCCTTCTTTTCATTTAACTAGAGATACTCAGTTCCTGCAACCGTTGCTTATATGTTTTAGTCTCCAGTCCCCTAATCATTTCACGTCTTCCAGAAATGCTCTTAGGGAACATTTTTAAAAATCCATACTAGAAGTAAAGAGGGTGCACTCCTTCAAGGCTCTAATCAAAAAGTGGTATTTTACTAGGTTTTTATTGTGCTGCAACTGAAAAGCTTTGGGGCAATGGTGGCCTTTAAATACTGTTTCAGATGAATTGCCTGTTTACTTGCTTGCTTGCTTGCATTTGGTTACAACAGTGAAACTGATTATCCAGCAAGATTTAACTTGGGCCCAAGAACTTTAAAGAAATGTTTAATTGTCTGAACAGAATAGGGTACTCTATAGGCAGAGAAGTCTTGCAAAACCTTTTACAGCAATCCTTTTACAGCAATCCTTTTTATGCAATTCCACTTTTTTATCCGGTTGGTGAACCCTTGTGGCAAGATGGGTGACAAACAAATTTGATAAATAAATAAATTGTGAATCGAACATTCTGTTGCGATATTGAAAATTTTTATAAATCAAAGGTATATTTGTGATATTGAAATTTTTGATATTTGTTACCATTTTAATTTTTATTTCAGGCCCTCCCGGCGATCCAGGGCCTCCAGGAAAAACTATACTTATTAAAGGAGATCCAGGGGACTCTGGCCCTTTGGGCCCACCTGGTATTCCTGGTCCATGCGGTAAACAGGGAACTAAGGGTATTCCAGGAAACCAAGGGAGAAAAGGGTCAAAGGGTATGTATGGAAGTACTAGTTTAGCACGGATTTAAATTTTGGATTAGAAATTTCTAGTAGTAGAGATGTGGCATTGATCTGTTGTTTTTTCTCATTGTTAAGGTCCAATGGGGAAACCTGGTATTCAAGGACCATCTGGTGTCCCTGGGGACCCTGGAGCTCAAGGTCTTCAGGGACCAATTGGTCCTGTGGGCCACAAAGGTAAGTCTTAACATTTCAAGCTTTTTTTCTAATCTTGACTTTTCTGAATTCACAACTCAAATTATACGATCGCCAAATTACAACAAATTAAAGTAATTTTAAATCCAGTGATATGGATAAAAATTCAGAATCAATTTAGATAGCGTACTTATATATATATTTCTCCTAATGTTGCAATGAAAGATGAAACCAGATGTGTTAGCCCGATTGTGCCTTTAGATTGAGTCATTTCAAGCAGCTGACTGAAAGGGAAGCACGTTGTTATTTATTTTATTATAATTTCATTTTTATTGCCAGAGGAGAAAGAGTGTTGCTGAAGTTTTATTCTCAGGAGTGCACACGTTAACTAACTTTAGATATTAAATCACTTTGAGTTGACAGGAAGGAAATCATGTTTGCTGCTTTTTCTAAGGCAGCAAAATCTTGAGCTCACACTTCAAGTCATAGCAATTGTTGTTGTATTTCTCAATCTTATCAATTTTAAGATGGTGTGAACTTCATCTCCCAGAATGTCCCAGCCAGTGATTCTCGGAATTGAAGTCCACACATCCTAAATCAATTAAGATGATTAAAGCCCTAGAGACAAAAACATATGAAGAACAGTTGCAGGTATTAGGTGTGGCCAGTCTAGAGAAAAGAAGGACTAGAGATGACATGATAACAGATTCCAATATTCGAGGGGCTGCCAGAAAGAAGAGGAGCTCAACTTATTTTCCAAAGCACCAGAAGGAAAGATAAGAAACTGGATGGAAACTAATCAAGCAACCTGGAATTAAGGCGAAACTTCCTAAGTGAGAACAATTAACCAGGGGAACAGTTTGCCTTCAGAAGTTGTAGGTGCTTCATTCCTGGAGGTTTTTAAGAAAAGACTAGACAGGCATCTGTTTGAAATTGTATAGGCCTCTGGGGCTGCAACCCTGGGCCGCAGCCCAATATCAGGCCATGGGCTGTTTGAAACTGGGCTGTGGGAGAAATGGGCAAGAGTGCACAGAGGAAGCTCCATTTGCATGATCAGAGGGCATTTGTGCTTGTGCTTTGTCCATTTGCACAAATGGAACTTCACAGGTGCAGCTTTGCATGAGAGCACAAGGGCCTTCTGCTCATGCAAGTGGAGCATTGCACGCGAGCCTGCCTCTTGAGCAATTGGAGCTTTGTGTGCAAACACAAGCACCCTCCACTCATGCACAAAGCTGCATCTATGCAAGTGGAGAGCACATGTGTGCCACTCACACAAATAGAGCTGTCCACATGTGCACATGCATGCCACTCACACGCCCTCTCAGGATGCTGAGCTGGAAAGGTTGGGGACCACAGGGGGTTGGATTAGAAGACCTCCAAGGTTCCTTCCAATTCTATTCTGATTGATTGATTGAACTTGATATGGTTAAGGGACATTGTTCTATATTAATCTATCTCCTTGATTTTCTTCCTACATGTGAAATGGTTGTCATGATCTGATCCTTGGCCTTTATTCTACTAGGTTATAGAGGTAAGCTAAAGAAGGATGAGTATATTTTAGAAAGCATTTCCTTGACTGGTTCTTGATTTCCCATTTACCCTCAAATCTCATTCTGTTCTGTTAAAACATTCTAATAACATTCCTCTTGACCATAGAAATATACTCTTCAAAAACCTTTTAATCCTTTGCTGTTTTACTGATGTGGGGGACAGGGCCAAGTACTGGCAAAGGCAATTAGAAGTTATATACATATAATATAAATTTTTATCTCAGTGCTGCACAGAAATGAATAAATAACAGGACTGCTTTGTAAATAATTAGGGAAACCTGCTCTGGAGTCCACAGGGGCAAAATGATTGTACCTATCTCTTTAAAGACATTGTGCCTTTTCCTGGTATTACATGATGATTGGAAATCACAAGGGGAAAGGAGAGGCTATTGAGAAAATTTGTGTGACGATGCTGTTTATTTATTTATCAACTTTGTAAGATCACTTTTGGCTTAATACAGTACAAATCAGAAAAGAGTGATGAACATCCAGGAAGAGCAAAATAATTACACCTCTTTTGCCTGAACCCCATCCTCAAAGAAGCTGTCATCCATCCTAGCCCAAGACCTGCGGGGAGAGCTAGACTTTAAGGGTTCATTTAACATATCTTGGAGAGGGCAATATTCTTCCAGAAGGCAGGCAATGTTTAATGAGCACAGTTTAATCAATGGATTTGAAGTATGCCAACTCTGCCAGCTTAAACAGGATGGGCAAACAGTACAGACAGCACGAAGCTGATAAGTCATATGCCATGGAGGCCTTTATATATGTGATCATCTTGAATTATACCTATAGCCCAATTTGCAATTCCTAAATCAAAGGGGTTACATGGATATACTGTACTATGGCATGCCTATAACTTATTGTTGCAGCTTCTGGGTGTTCTTTAAAGGAACTCCCATGTGGAACACACTGCAATAGTCCATATGTGAGGTGACCCAAGCTTGACTTGATGTTCAGAGGGAATCCTGATCCAGGAATTTGTATATGATGAATTTGTGCAAAGGCCTCTCTTGCCACAATTACCACCTGCTCATTGAACAAGAGTAGTGAGTCCAGAAAGACTTCTCTCTAAAGAACCCCTATCCAAATATTTGTTCAGGTTTAATAATTCCATTAATTTATCTGCAGATGTAGACTACCAATGTACAATCTGTTGAACCTTGTTCAATAATATCAGTTCACATTAAATTCAGTTGCTGAAACAAATTCATGTTGATTACACAATGTATTTCTCATGATCATTTCTTTGAGTTGTTTTTATTCCCTTTTCACTGAATCATTTTTAGATCACTTTTATGGGCAGCACATAAATCTAGTAAAAATAAAAAAAATATAAAACAATAAAAGATCATTGGTCAAACATTGAGAAGAATTTCTTTTTACTGATATCTAATGTACTCTTAATAAAGTATTTACTGCTACCTATTTCAGGTGATCCAGGAAAACCTGGAAGGGTTGATTTCTCATCATGTCCTAAGATTCCAGGGCCTCCTGGTGTATTAGGCCCCCGAGGACCACCAGGCTTTGTAGGATTAAGAGGGCCAATTGGCTTTCCTGGACCCCCAGGTAAAAGATTGTATGACTTTCAGAAACTATGTAATAAAGAAAGGGAGAGTCTAAAAAATCTTTACTATGTATTTTCCCAAGTTAGGATTGGGCAACTTCTGGAATGCTCATGTGTGACCTCAAGAACCTTACTGTTCTAGGTAGAAAGGCCAACAATGGAAGGTCAAAAGTTTTTTCAGATCCAGTTTGGGGAATAGAGTGATCTCAGGGAATAAAATAAGTGTATGAAATTCCCAATAATTACTTTAAAATGCAAAGTACCCATATTTTTCAGAGTATAAGATGCACCAGAGCATAAGACGCATCAAGATTTGGAAGAGGTAAATTAAAAAAAAGTAGGTAGGTAGGTAGAGGGGGAGAGAAAGAGAGAGAAATACATCCATCCATACATCCATACACACACACACACACACACACACACACACACACACACACACACACACACACACATAGTGTCAGTAGGTAGGTAGGGAGTGGGATAGAGAGAGAAATAGAAAGAGATAGAGAGAAAGATAGTAGATAGGTAGGGAGAGAGAGAGAGTAGGTAGGTTGATAGATAAAGGGATGAGAGAGAGAAATAGTGAGAGAGAGAGAAATACAGTAGATAGGTAGGAAGAGAGAGAGTAGTTAGGTAAATTGGTAGGTAGGTAGATAAAGGGAGAGAGAGAGAGAGAGAGAGAGAGAGAGGGAGGAAGGGAGGGAGAAAGAGAAATACAGTAGGTAGGTAGATAGAAAGAGTATGTGTAGTAGGGAGGAAGGGAGGTAGAGGGATAGAGAGAGAGAAATATAGAGAGAGATAAATTCAATAGATAGGTAGGTGTTTCTGCTGGCACAGCAGTTGATCAATGTAATTCTCATCAATCAGTTAAAGAGCTTTCCAAAAGGGAAAAAAAGTTTTTGCACTCTGCAAACCTCCCCAAAATGGCCCATTTTTCACAAAAACAGGCTGTTTTTTTAAAAAGGCAGACTGCTCAGGGGGGCTGGGGGGGGAAATGAGCAAAAAAGGGCCCATTTTTCATGAAAACGGGCCTGTTTTTTGTCAAAAAATTGCATGCATAGCCTTATAGAGGTTTATAAAATGCTGCTGGGGCTTGGGGGGGGGGCAAAAAACAGTCCGTTTTTTGCTCATTTCTGCCCTCCCCAGCCCCCAGGAGCTCTCTGAAAGCCTCCATAAGGGTATGCACGACAATTTTGGTGGAGGGGCGGGGCTTCAGAAGGCAAAAATGCTGTATTCGGTGTATAAGACACACCCAGATTTTCAGCTTCTTTTTTTGAGGAAAAAAGGTGCGCCTTATACTCCGAAAAATACGGTAGTTAATTTTCTGTTTTGGAAATGGATTTAAGGAATAAAATGGGTGTCTTAAGTTCTAAAATTTCCTCAACTCCTAACATAGAAAGGCTGAACTTTTCAGGCCCAAAACATTTGCAATATCCTGTAATTGAATATGTTGTGTATAGCTCCCTGTCAGGGCATATGAAAGTATATATGTGAGAGCCAATTCGGGCTAGTGATTAAGGCATCTTGCTAGAAAGACTGTAAGTTCAAGTCCCATCTTAGCCATGAAAGCCAACTTTCATGGATTTTGGACCAGTCACTCTCTCTCAGCTCAACCCACCTGACAGGGCTGTTGTATGGAAAATAGGAGGTAGAAGGTACATTTGGATATGTTTTCCACCTTGAATTATTTGTAAAGATAATAAAGACTGGATAGAAATACATAAATCAAATGTTTATCTAAGACTGGCCCTCCCTATGTTTGTGCACCTTCATTTTCCCTCCAAGTTTATGTCACATGTTTTTACAGTGTCTTCCTTCCACTGAACCAAGTGTCTTATTCCACTTAACATCAAAGCACTGTTTTTCAAACTTGGCAACTTTAAGATATGTGGAGTTTCCCATGCTCACTGGGGAATTCTGGAAGTTGAACTCCATACATTTTAAAGTTGCCGAATTTGAAAAATACTGATGCAGTGTGTTATATTTCCACAGTATAATGCCAAATGTAAGTTTAGTCATCAGAAATCTTGCAGTATCAACACAACAGGAGTCTGGTGTTTGTTTTAGAGACAGAAAAGGGGATGGTAGTGTGGAATTATATCTATTCTGAAATAAATGTGATGTATTTTAGGAAATAAAGGAGAAGAAGGCTCATTAGGTGAGCAAGGACTAGAAGGCGCGCTTGGACCAGCAGGACCTGATGGTGATCAAGGTGACATGGGAGAAGAAGGAAACATAGGGCCACAAGGTTCTACTCAATTCTATTTGCTCTTCTTTTAGAAGTATATTTATTTCGCAAGTAGATAATGTTTAGATAATAAATATTGGCGATTGTCATTTTTTTTTTACTTGGAAATATTGAATATTGCATCCTGATGTTTCTGTCCCATAGGAGAAGAATCTGAGTTCTCTACATTTTTGAGGTCAAATCTCTGAATAAGTTTGAGAAACATGCCATCCTATTGCCCCTGTTAGATAGATAGATAGATAGATAGATAGATAGATAGATAGATAGATAGATAGATAGATAGATAGATA